TTAAGCAAAACAACAGAAAAGAACAATGACAGGGGTGTGGAAGATTAGGGCTAGTGGTGAAAGCAGGAGGTCAAAACCAAACACAACATGAAATACCAAGGGAAAGGTCAGAATCAGAAATGGAGACAGATGCCAAGCCAGGAGACAGGAGTTGGGAATAATGTCAGGTACCAGGCCAGGAATCAGAACCAGAAATAATATTGGAGACCTGGAATAGGGCAGGACATCGTGAAGTGGGAGCAGACAGAGGTCTGGGTTAAAAAAACAGGAACCAGGAGCAGCCAGGAAAGCAGCAACCAAGAGCAGTTAGGAATAAAGGGCTTAAGAACCACATAAGCAGGAAGGGACTGTACTCGCAGACAACTAAGGATTCTGCCAAATGCTCGGATAACTCCATGTTGTTACTTCCTGGCTCATATAGTACCTCTTAGCCAATCAGGGCAAGCTCTTCCCTGGACCTTTCCTTCGTTACTCAGGTGAGTTGCTGGGTGGGAGTTCCCTACCTAGGGACTCAAATTTAGATCCTGTGAGGTCTGTGACCCCTCGCAGGAAGCTGAACAGCACCTATCCCTATTATGATGTGATCTAGTCACTATCAGCTTCTTGAGCAGTAAAACTAATCAGATTCCAATTTTGTTAAATATTTTATTTAGATATTACCATGTTGGTGCCTATACCTGTGCCTAGATATTTAGGTAAATAGACACTGTCTGATAGTCTTCTACTAATAGTCACTGTTCCTAAAAAACTGTTGGTAATCAGACCCTTATGCTCACATTTCTGAAGTTTGACTCTCTGTTGTAAGAATGCGCCTCCACAGATCAATTTGCAGGACCAGGTACATAACAAGGAGAATGAGCCACTGAGAATTTGTGTCTTCAGGCCATTGTATGCTTTCTCCGTTGAATCAAGCAAACTAAAAATATAAGAAATCATTTTGGTTGCTACATGACACACAGCGGTGTGAAGCAACTTTTTACACTGGCTATAGTGCCCCACCATTCAATACAGCTAGGTGGTTGTTTTCTATTAGGGATGTTAGATATCAATTAATTGACTAATTGAGTAACCGCATCAAAACTTAGCGGTTACACGATTATTTGATAGTTCCCAGGGACGGTGCTGGCAGCCAGTGCACTCCTGGCCCCAACTCCCAGGAAGCCCCCTGCCACCCCGCGCTGCTACCTTTCTATCACAGGCAGCAGCATGGGGTGGCAGGAAGGAGCTGGCCCACAAGGGGAGCCGGCATCCCATGGAGCAGCCTCTGTCCGCCATGGGAGGCAGCAAGGGTGAGGGAAAGGAGGCTCCGCAGAGCCAGCATGCGCAGACTTAAAAGCCAGATCCCGTGTCTATCTGCTCCCACCTGCCCCTCCTCATCCTCTGCGCAGCTGCCTCTATCAAATGTATTGAGTCAAGTCCAAATCTACTGAGTAAGACAAAAACTTCTGCATAGAAACTTTGTGCACCCAAGTCCTTATGGGCACGATCAGCTCTGTGTATTAAAAATAGCACTAGTCAGCAGGCTCTCCAATATGTCCAATTGTCCAGCTGAAGCTCTTGTCTCTCTGGCACAATTGAGCTGTTTGGGTCCACGTATACAGAACACAGGGGGGAAGTCGGCCAGTTTGACTCCCCAGTTACAGAAACAACAGAAAAGGGGAAACGGAGAAAATGGCCAGCTGTTCTTATGGAAGCCTCAGAAAGGGTGGCTACCGTGTTATAGGGTTTTCCGTTAGAAACCAGCATACCATTATTGCTCTCTTCAGATAAACAGGCAAAAGAGGCATGCAGAAGGCAATCAAAATTACAAGTATAAGACACCCAAAATACGCAAAGTAAATTAAATATATGAAAATGTAAATAAGTAAATAAAAAGTGAATATAATGATAAGTTACCTCCCCATATACCCTTTTTTAAAGCTATGATTTCTTTTCCTCTTTTTTCCCCTTCTTCTAATCTGATTACTAGTTATTTGACAAATTCAGCCTGCAATCTAATACCAAGCAATTTCCTTCATAGCAGAAAGATGTCACAAAAATGAGCAGTTGTATACTTTCCCTCTGGCTACATAACAATTGTGTGATGACAACTGCTTTTACATGGACTGGTGTCAGAGAAACATGTTTCCCTAATGCAGGGGTTCTCAAACTTGTGATGCCGTGACCCCCTTCTCAGTTGCTCGTGACACCTCTCCATTGCTGCGACCCCCCCCTCTAAGTTGCTTGCAATCCCCCGGGGGGGTCAGGACCCACAGTTTGAGAAATGCTGCTCTAATGAATGATCTAGAAAATGATACTCTAGGTGGAATAATAATATCCATATAATTTTAATAGTATTTATCCTTTAACTGTTTAATAATTCACTTAATTTTGAAATGCAAAACATGTTATGATAAACATTTTTTCTTAGGTATATGGCACACTTAAGATCATTTTATTTAATAGGAAAAAGGCCCGTGTTTTTTCATTTTTAACTGATGATGAGTTTTCATGCAAATAGAGCTTGATGCAAATTGGAAAAAAGGAATAATCTAGTATATAATAAATCTGTCATTTGCCACTTTAACATAAAATTAAAATTAAGGCTCACTTAGGGTTAAATAAATGTCAGTTAAACCGTATAACTGATTATATATCCTCTGTGTTAGCAAAAAGGAGTACCAAAATTTGTGTACGGACTATATTTAATTGCAAATGAACACTGATTGCCAACTAACAAGTTACTTTCTTCAGGAAAATAACTAAAAAGTACAAATGCAATTCACAATTAAAATGTATTATTTAAATCTCTTTAATTTGAAATGTAACTACCTGAGTATTCTTTTAATAAAGATTTCCTTTCTCAAACCATTCCAGAAGACACTAGTTAAAGTAAATCCAGCATTTGGGTCTTTGACCCAGATTCTGTAATGAACTTTTGAGATTTTTAGTATATTTAATGCTCATGTGCAATAATGTTCATTTGATATCAGTGGAAAGTTATCTGTTTAGCCACATAACATGACAAACAAAAGCAGTGTAAAATAACCCTACAAGATTACGTACCATCCCTCAATTCCATTCTCAGGGAACCAGTCCTATGGGCCAACAAGTTCTGTTCTTTTTTTTAATTTAGATTCTTATACTTCCCCTCACTCCAACACTCTGTTCATCATTATGAAAATGTCACATGCTTGACTTTATAAGTGCATACATACATATGACCAAACAACCTGAAGGATTCACAGTCCATGGTTGAAGGTTGAGACTGCAGGGCCAGCATCGGCCACAAATTTTCTGGAACCACACCTTTGGCAGAACCTCTCAAAAACTCTGAATCTCAAAGTACCATCATTGTCTGGGCCTCATCCTAAACAAGAGACAATCAATCTAAGAGGTTTAGACATGCACTGGACATGAAACTTCTTCTTTGGACTTACCTCTTACTACAGAACAGAGGAAAACAGTATACTTATAGTGCTGCATAAAAGAGCCATGTGTAGCAGTTTGGGTAACCGCTAAACATATTGATTACCTATTTACACGGCTACACTCTTATATACCTACTATATACAACCAGAAATCTCAGAAGACTATGATTGAAAGTGTGATGTAAAATGCCACACAGAGTGGACTAGCCCTAGCCACCACAGACAGTAACAAGAAATTGGGGAAGAGGGGTTCAGGAGGGAGGTGTCCAGAGTGAAGCCACCTTTACCTAACCAGGGCAGGGGCGAGGGCTGCAGCCACTGCAGACAGTAGTAGGCAAAGTTCTCCAGCTTTGGTGTACTGGGCACGCACACACATAAGTGGAATACTCATCTGAAACCATTGAAAAAATAACTTGGCTTTACTTTTCATTATCAACACACTTCAAGAAAAGATTTCTGAAATGAAAAGCTACTTTCATGAATTAATTCAGCTTTCATTTTACAGTGCATCATTAAAACTCAACGGCTACATCTACACTGGCGTGATCTTGCGCAAGAGATGTGCTTTTGCGCAAGAGCATCAATGCCAGTGTAGATGCTCTCTTACGCAAGAAAGCTCTGATGGTCATTTTAACCATAGGGCTTTCTTGCGCAAGAAATTCATGTTGCCTGTCTACACTGGCCTCTTGCGCAAGAACAGTTGTGCAAAAGGGCTTATTCCTGAGCGGGAGCGTCAGAGTTCTGACACAAGAAGCCCTGATTTCATAAATTAGAACGTCAGTTTACTTGCACAAGTGTAGACAGGCAGCAAGTTTTTGCACAAGAGCGGCCGCTTTTGCACAAGATCACACCAGTGTAGACACAGCCTACTAGTTTACGATTAGTGGAAAATACCCAGTAGAAGACGAGAGGGAATTCAACTAACTGGTGTACAACTTACACTTCAGACAAATTATTTATGATGCACTGGAAAGGGTTTGTGAAAGTTAAGATCGTTTGTATTCTATTCATTGGTACTTGTTATCTAGGACTACTAGGTATCAAACTGAAAGGCATTTTAAAACCATGTGTAAACACCTTAACTGAAAATATTTCAGCTGGTTTACACAGCCATGGACACTACCATTAATAGATCTTATGTATATTAAAATATTACTTTTCCCACCCCTTATCAGTATTTGTGTGCAAATGCAATACTGAAGAGTGTAAATTAAGCTTGAAACGGTGTCTAAGTGCCTACCCTAGAAAACCTTCCCTTTAAAAGGTCTGTTTTAGGCTTTAGTTACCATACTCATCAAGGTGAATAAGAAAGTTTACAGATGTTGTTTCGGTCTGTCTAGGACACTGCTACATTGGTTCATATGAAGAGGATTAGCTCATAGCTAAACCAAAAAGGCTAGAAATGGAAATGTAAGTTTAAAAATGAAAACTTGCACTGTGCAGACTTGATCTATTATAGGAACCAGTTAAACAAATGAAACAGACAGCTAGTACACTATTAAATTTGAATTAAATTGGATATACTACTCCATTTTCCCTGTTCAGATACATAACAAGGTGGGTAATAGAGTTTTTCAAAGACTTTCTAACCTCTCCTGGGACTCTCATGATTGAAGAGAATGCCATTCACAGCAAAGAGATTGTAGGCCTCCCTGAAGTTCACCACAATCCAATAGGCATACAGCTTGGCTGCTCCTACAAAAATAATTTAAATGTTACATCTATAATCACACCCACACACATATACACAGAGTAAGAAATTCAGTTCTTTATAGAAAGATGAACTAGCATCTGATTAATTCTCTCAGTGTGTCATATTTCACCATTAAACATTCATCCCAATAAACAGCAACTGAATGAGAAACACTCCTTTCTGTACAGCCATTGTCTTGGCCAGGAAACATTAAGGCACCCATCGCTTGTTTTGCTATGCACACTCAAACATCACACGTTTTCTTTTACAATATAATTAACACTGCCAGAGCGTGTGAAATATGCATGGTGGTGACCTCTGTTAATAAGAAAAATTACTTTGAGGGAATAAATGAAAATCTGGTGCCTTAACACTCAGTTGATTTGAAACTTTATCACTACTGTCTTCCATGCACATTGCTTTAATAAGTGTTTCAAGTTAGTTCATGAGAGGAGTGAGCTCTTGGGAGATTTTCATTTAGGCAGCAAAAAATATTAAACTTTATCAATTCTGTGCTATCTTACAACTCTTCACTCCGATGGAATCACCCCTCCCTCATCCTTTTAAAAAAGTTCTCTGCTCCAGATCTGAATGAACAAGGTTGTGTGAAGTGAGATGGTAATTTAGCACCCTCAGGCAATGGCAGCAAATACTTTTTATTTAGTAATGTATAAAGGTATGCTTCTCAACATGTCTAGTCACTTTTGTTCTATCTTTATTTTAATCTCATACCCAAATGACTTCAGTCCTGAGATACAAGGAGCGCACGTAGGCATGCGCGCACATGAATACTCACCATATGGAGACCTGGGATAAAAAGGAGTAGTCTCCTTTTGTGGTATTTCTTGCACTTTCCCATAAAGTTCACTGGTTGAGGCTTGGTAGAACTTCACAGAGTTGATAAGGCCACAGGTCTTAACAGCATCAAGAAGCCGTAAAGTACCAACTCCATCAACATCAGCAGTATATTCTGCTAGGTCAAAAGAAATCTTGGTAGGAGGGAGATAGGAAGAAATACAATGAGAGAGATTTACTAAAGGCAACCACAAATGCAACAAGTATACACAACAAAGTCACATTTATACCTGACACAAAACAGAATCAGCTATATGTTTTCAGTCGGATTTCAATTTTTAATTTATAAGAATATCCAAAATATTTACAAAATACACTGAGAACCAAAAACAGGCTTCTTCAACTTGACTACAAAACTAAGAAGCCCAAAGAAGCAAAGTCTGAGAGACTGGTACCTGTTACCAAAAGGCATTACCAGCCCAAGAATGCGAAAGACTGAACACACAAGGGGGAAAAATTGTCACAGGATTAGGATATAGACTTAACCAAATTGGGCTTCAGACAAGTAATTTGGGGGGAGGAGGGAAGTAAAGCTCCGAGTCATTTAAGGGGCCAAAATTAGATGTCCCTCTGTGTTTATGAACATGCTATGATAAAACACAGCCTGTCCTGAATTCTAGGGACTTGACTTCCTCTCTATTATGTTAAGGTGCCCCTTTAAGCAACCTTGCTTAAGGCACAGGCATAAGAAACGGTGAGTAGGGCTCCAGAGCCATGGGATGATGTCAGACTCTGAACTTTCATGGGAAAAATGTTTCTTGCTCTCACAGTTGTGAGGAAAAGCTTGAAAGCTTCAGACAGCTTTCTGAAGACAGAGTAGCAGCAACCACTAACGCCAGGCAGAAACTACTTGGCTACATACTCAACACCAGAGCAGACCTGGATGCCGCTGCTCTGGCAAAGAGGACTTGTTAGGGATCTTGTTTGAATCGCTGGGCTCTGTGGGATCGGCTCTCTACTGGTGGGACATAGAAACAAACCCAGGTTCCATTTCTCCTATCTGATTTTGAGTTCCAAATATCAGAATCAGGGGGAAAAAGATGATCTTCTCCCAAATGTTACCTATTCATGGCACCAAAATGAAACACTATTCCCAGCAGATGGTGCAGATCTGTGATCCTTCCTTCTCCCTTTATTCCATGTTTTGACAAGACGGAAATAGTTAACAGTGATGTCATTTAAATTAGTATTATTGGGTATCTGAACTATTATCCCACTGAAAAACAAGGTAGTTCACATATCTTAGAGGTACTGTTTCAGGGTCTTTGCAGATTCAGGCAGAAAACACTTCATTCATTTTACATTTTTCCCCTGCAATCTTAAAAGGTAGAGATTTAGGGCTCTTCTGCAAAGCAACTTGAACCCAAGAACTAAATCAATTGTAATTCACAACTCTACTTATTTTGGCTTTGTCTACATTCAGAACATTAAAGCGCTGATGCAACAGTGCTTTAATGGGACAGTGAGATGGGGATGGCAGTGCTGGGAGAGAGCTCTTCCAGCACTGCAGGTAAACCACCTCCTTAAGAGGACTAGCTAACAGTGCTTGGCATGCGAGTTCTTACACTGGCCATTTGCAGCGCTGTAACTTGCCTTGCTCAGGGCGGGTGTTTTTTCACATCCCCTGATCGAAAAAGCTACAGCACAGTAGCTTGCCAGAGCAGACAAGCCCTTAGTTGCAAGCCTGATTTTGAACATAAGTTATATGAAGATTAGGGATGTAAGCGACCAATCAACTAGTTGACTACCCAATAAGCATATGTTTATCAGGTAATCAAGTAGTGACTCGACTAGTCGCTTCCCCCATTAAAAGCTGGTTTCCCCCAGCATTACCTCCAGGGGGAGGGGAGCAGGGGAGGCAGAGGAATAGCAGGGGGACCCAGTACGAGCTGGGAATCAGCTGATTCTTGTCTCATGCTCGGTCCCAGATGCCGTGCCTCTGCTTTTTAAATGTATTAAGAGTCACGAGGCTCTTAATACATTTCAAAGGCAGAGTTGCAGTAGGGTTAGCTCCTGGGGCTGGGAGCTAACCCTGCTGTGGCTCTTCTCCCCTTATTGACTAATCAAGTAGCTGATTAAAGGCAATTTAACATCCCTAATGAAGATAAGGCACTCTTATTTAAAAAAAGTTTCCTCACACAAATTTGAATTAAAACTACTCAAGATGTGAATTAAAACGGAAATAAAGACTTCAGTTCCAGACTACTATGTAGACAAGCGCTTCAGCATAATTCAAGCTGTGATTTAGTGGGGAAAAGCAATACAAAATTTTGTGACATTCATTTTTAAAACATAGCAGCTGCTTGAAGCTTTTCAAGCTTTTCTTTGAAAGGTCAAAGAATATGATAAGTAGCATAATTAATTATATTTATCACCTGTCTCTCCAATTTATCACATGGATATCACTTCCAAACATATGAGGTATTGAAATAAAATGAAATAAATTACACATTTCCCCTGGTCTGCAATGGGGCTAGAATTTCCTGCATAGTATATATTATTTCTTCCATATTCCCCAATGATAATCCCTGCTCATGTACAAATCATTGTAGACTATAGTACATGTACACTGTAAAATGTACATCAGGTGAGTTCAGATGAGAACAAATCTTTTCTAAAAAATCCCTAATTATAAATTCTGTGTCCGAAGTGAACACTGAGTCTACAGTAGCAATACTAAAAACAGCTCTCCCTGGGGAACGCACAGACCAAATACACAATGCAAGCTTTTCCCTCTTGCCTTAAGAATGACCTCACTCTTCACCTGGAAAAATCATTCTGCAGGGTGTGAGGTAATTTTGCCTCCATGTCTCGAGTGTCTCTTGAGCAGAAACTGACAGCTGTATGTGTGTTTGGTGTTTTTGTAATGTGGGCTATTGTTCACTGGGGATTGGGCTCAAGCCACTAAACTCATTTCAATTAGGACTGCAGGTTAGACTAGAATGGCATCCATGAAAGCGAAAAATGTATACTTTATCGGCTACACGTTCTAACTCCAATAATGCAGTCTTCTAAGACACTTACCCAGTACAGTGGAAGTAATTGTTAGCGTGTAAACCTGGATAACTTCATAACATGGGATTTTGTTTCGTGTGACAAAGGACAATGTTTTGCAAAAACATACCAACCTGCCTTACCAAAATTTGGCTGCTATGATTGCAACCAGATAATGAGGAGAAAATAGAAGCATTAAGAGGGGAAAAAAAGGCTCAGAAAATGAAGTGAGAAAATTCCTGAACCATTGGCAGAAGGATAGAACCAACACTAAGATCTACAACTCCCATTACACACACACACACACACACACACACGCCCCAGGAGGCCAAATCTTCCATAGTGCTGAGTGCCAACCACATCTTTCAGAATCTTGCAAGTTTGGTCCCAGAAAAAAAAAAAATTATGAAATCTTTTTTCATGCTAGGTTTTGAGTGCCTTCAGCTCCCACTGATTTCAAAGAGAGAGGTCAGAAGTTCATAGGAGACGGCTCTCAGGTTCTAGGAAGTATTAGGAATCTAATGACAATTCTAAATTTTCAAATATAAAATGGTTCAATATTTATCCATATTGGACCTCCCTTGTCTGGTACCCTCAGGACCTCACTGGCCCTGAATGAAGGGATTTGCTGGACCAGAGGAGGTCCCTCTCCTCATGACCCATGCTGCCCAGCTGTCATCAGGCTAGGGCTCCCGTCTGGACTCAATATTGTCCCAGCACCCCAGATCTCTCAAGCTGCCGCTGGCCCCCTTGCTGCTGGGGCCGAGATCTCTGGCCAGGGCTGGGGCCAGAACTCCCCACATGCCACCCATTCCGCCCCTCCCCCGACACCGGGCTCCCAGCTAAGTCACCGGTCCCCATTACCGCACTCCTGCCCTATCCCCAGAGTTCCCTGTTCCTGAGCTCTGTGGTCAGACCACGGATGCTGCCGGACCAGAGAGTTAAGGTTCACTGAGGTACAACCTGGTTAAAATGTTTATTAAAATCAGGTTGCATAGATATATTAGAACACTTTGAGATCATGTGATCAAAAAGCATAAAATTACCATGACAAGTCACATGGTGACCTTCTTATCCAACTTAACACAGATGATAATCAACATTATCTAGTGCAGTTATCTCCAGTGCGGTATCTGTGGGCGCGATGGCACCCGTCGGGACATTTATGTGCGCCCGCCTAGTGACCAGAGCCGGCCTGAGCCATTCTTGCACCCTGGGCGCCCAGCGCATGCGCAGCCCCTGCCCCAGGCATGCAGCGCATGCGTGGTGCCACCCCTGGGTGCGTGGCACACGCGCAGTCCCAAAAGGTTGGGGACCACTGATCTAATGGTTTGCTAGTTTGAATATGCAGTTTTTATTTTAATTACCAACTGAATCTTTACACAAGAGCTGTATTTTACAAGGTATTTCAAATATGATTTCCCAATCAATAGTTCAAAGCCAAACATAGCAAGCAAGGCCTTTAATAAGATTTAAATGCTTACTGAAAGCTATCTAAATGAAAACACATGGAGTTCTACTCTCCAAATGAACACATTCCTATCATATCTCTGAGTACGGTATACAGGCATAGAAATTTACTGATACAGTAAACTTCTGATAATCCGGCACCTTTAGGACCCAGGGGGTGCCAGATTATCAGATATGCTGGAGTACCGGAAGGGGGGCAATGAGAGGTCTGGGGTGGGAGGAGGGGAGGTCGGCAGGGAACTGCGCAGCATAGGAGTGGGTGGCGCTGTGGGACCAACCCGGAAGCACCCCAGCTGCTCTACCCCTGGTTTCCCCAAGTCAGCTGCTGGTCAGTTTCAGCAGTGGCTGACTTGGAGAAGCTGGGGGCAGAGCATCTGGGGTGCTGCCGGGTTGGTCCCATAGCACCACCCCTCACCTGAGCGACGCGGCGGGACCAACCCGGCAGCACTCCAGCTGCTCTGCCCCAGCTTCCCCAAGTCAGCCACTGGTCAGTTTCAGCTTGGGAGTTGCTTCAAAATAACTTCCCTTATTTCGAAATAACAGTCTCTCCACACTACCAAGCCTGTTATTTCAAAATAAGGGGCTGGTTATTTCAAAATAACCCATGCTTTCCTTGGGGAACAAGCTTATTTTGCAATAGTTATTTTGGGAGTTATTATTCAAAATAAGT